AGGTTTCATAACTTGTAATTATAAAAGGAAGCACATAATAATGATTTAATTTTTATTACTACAAGTAACAACTTTAACAATTTTTAAGTTTTTTTTATGGGTTTCAAAAGGAACACCTTGACCAAATTATGTGGAAGTAAAACAATTGTCTTATCATTTTCTTTTATTCTCTCTTTGATTCAAACTGTCCAAAGTGGTTGCACTTCTTTTTATAAAAATGTTTTTCTTTTGTATTTCAATCTGTTTCTTTTTTTTTTTTTTTTTTTTTTTTAGGATAATGGAATGGATTCATTACAAAGACCGCCATACGGCATCTACAAAGATAACAAAAAGTAAAAACAACTGGAACAAAAGAACAGAGTAGACCCATATCCAGAGGCCTGAAGGGGGTGCACTCAGCACTCAAACAACCACGAACGTCCCGGAAATACCACGGCCTTTGGTCGACCGATCCATATGGGACACCCTTCAATCTACCCTTGAAGAAATAGCACCAGGCTCCAGGATGCCGTGCGGTCACCCGATCTCGCGACGGAAGACCCTCGGAACCAGCAGGAGAGCCACGATGGGCGTCAGATCTGGAAGCCCTCGCGTGCGCCGCCTTAGATCCGCCGGAGGAGAAAGAAAGCCGTCGGATCTGCACCAAACAGAACAAAAAAAGAAAAACCCAACGAACCCCTACTAAGATCAACAGGAAAGAGCCAAGGGTCGCCGAATTTGAAAAAACAAACTGTACAAGAAACTAAAACTATACAAAACAACCAGAAAACAAAAAGAGTAAAAGGGGTCACCGGAAAGGGACCCATAAACTGACAGACCCCGAAGGGTCATCGGAGGATGGAGCACAGGCCGGCTCCAGCATGCTTGAGCGGCCAGGGATCCCCCAACGGCTCAAGCATCAAAATGTCGGAAGCTCAAAGGCTTCCGACCAAAAAAACCACCGCGCTAGAGAAGGTAGGCAAACGCAAAAGAGAAGGGAGAGAAAAGGGGAAAGAAGAAAGAGAAATCCATAAAAAACAGATTTTATTTGTTAACAACACTCCATGATGTAGTAATTACAAACAGCTTTTAGCTTTTTAATTAAAAATTGGATGTCATATTTTGTTTTAGAACATTATTTGTGCAATAATTATAAAAACAAATTTTATACGATATCCTACATGGTACATAACTAGTACAATGAGTTTTTTTTTTTTTACAAGAGTACAATGAGTTAATTAAAGGTTAACTGGTACTAAATAAAATTAATTTATTTTTTCATATAACTTGCTTGAATGAATATATATATATATGAACAACCCATTGCCGATTTTCAAAAAAAAAAATATGTACGAACAACATTTCAATTTATCATTGACCGGCTGACAGCATAAATCCAGTGTAGTACAAAACGGTTGCATGACAGATTTAGGACACGTTTAGTGAAATTCGTAAAGGTTTTAATTTTTTTTATATTACTTATATTTTATAAGTTTAAATTTTTTTTAATTTTATATATTTTAATTTTTTTTAATTTTAAATATATTTTAAATAATAAATTTTAAAA